ATTTCTGCTGGGTGGCAGCATTGAACCACTCCCACTGTGGTCACCCCAATCAGTTATTTTGTTCAGCTTCTTCAGCACTCTCTTCCCCAGCTGTGCTGTGGCTGAATGGCACTGTGATGCTTTGGAGAATTATGAATTCTCTTCAGTTTTGTGAACACTGTTTGTAATTGCAATAACCGCTGTGGAATAAATCACTTTTTTTTTCAATTTTTTTTTTTTTTCTGTGCAAAATTGCTACACATTGTGAGGATAGAGTCTGAAAGACTGTGACAAAGAAATCTAATTTTATCAGCGTGGAATGACTCTTCCCAGATTGAATAATGGTGCTTCTGTCAGCAAGGCTTTTAATTGAAATGGATTTTATACAGAAAACTAAACCTAGCCTGGCCTGGCCTGAGAGACCCAAAGTCCTCCAAGTGCCAGCTCCCCCAGTGACTCAGAGAACTGATTTACACCACTTGGCTAAGAAATCTGGGGAGTTTTGCCTGTTAACCTGCAATATACTGTAATACTTTGAACCAGTATATGCTGTGCACAAGCATTAAAAACTAAAATAATTGATGTCATTTTATTTTAAAAAAATTATGGGAGAGGTTGGATCACTTCTGCTATGGAGACAGGCTGAGTTAGGGCTGTTCAGCTTGGAGAAAACAAGGCTCCATATATCCAGGAGACGGGATTCTTCCCTGTAAGGGTCCTGGGATAGTGGAAGGTGACCCTGCCCATGGCAGGAGGTGACACTGGATGGGCTTTAAGGTCCCTTCCCAACTAAACCATTGTGTGATTATATGATTCTGTGACTCTACATTTCAACTTATTAACACAAAAAAATGCTGTAAATGACTGTGAGCAGCTTTAATTGGCTCCTGGGGCTGTGAAAACAGAGATTTTGCAGCGCTGGGCACCTTTTAAAAACACCATCCTGGTTATGAGGAGCAGTATAGCTGCACTGCATTAATTACTCCATGTCAAGGAAACAAAAGTGCTGCCTGTCAGCTGAGGCCCTGGAGTACAAAAAGCCTGGAAATGTGGTTGTTTTCCATTTACAAAGGTGTTTATTTACACAGTATATTGATGTTCAACTGCCTGCTGTGATCAGCTGTCTGAACCAGGCTCTCCTACCAGAATCCCTTCCACCTCACATTCAATCATGTTTAGTCTAGACAAGCAAAGACAATAAATGGAGAAGAACCACACACATGGCAGTTCTGTCCATGTCTTTCCTTTCAACACTCCACTACATTCATTAAAGAGTGTGATGCCAGCTGTAGAAAAGTTTCAATCACTAATTACTAGTTCCAAAATGTAGTTAGGCTGTGATATTTTCTTTTTTTTTCCCTGCTCAGTTCAGTGCATTTTGGATTCCATCCCACATCAGCAATTTGGGTCTCTTAGTATGAAAATGAAATACACTCCAAAACCTGTGTTAGAACTGAGAGAACTTAATAGCTGTCAAAGCTGTATACACAGATACAAATTGGCTAAAGCTCAGGTAGAGGGATGGTCACCATCTGGACAGCAGTCACATGATAACCACATGCTTCTCATGTTAGGGATTTGGCATTTCATTCCTTCTGAGCTTTATGCCAGGCCAAAGGCACCTGAGCAGAACCCATATTTGGAGCTTTTCAAAAGTCCAGACCTCCTTTCTACAGTGTCAAGTTCAACAGCTTTTATTTGTTGAAATATTGTTAAAACCAGCTCCTGTAAAACTTGCTGTTTCTGCATCAAGGTACAGGGCCCCAGAGGGACAGCATCCAAATCCCAAGGTTTGTCAGTGCTTCTCATACCTGTTATCTGATAGCCTAAGAAAACAAGAGACCAATATTCCAGTTTCCCTAGCTTGCTGGGGAAAACTCACAGCAAAACCTTCTGTGGAGGTTGAATATTTCCAGTGTTCACCCACGTACCAGGCATTTGTGAAGTTACTGGTTGTGAGCTCACTGCAAAACTGTCGGTCTCAGATTCAGTCAAAGAGAGAAACGGAAAGTTTCTAACCAGGCAGAAGCCTGAGAAAGTGCTGAAAAGAATGTAAATAAGGTTCTTTATCTCTCTTGTTGTTCACATTGTTTATAGTTAGGTTTTGCTACTGTGCGTCATTCACTGCACACCAATGAAGTGAACAATGTTTTCACTTTAGGACCAATAGAATTAGCCTGGACAAAGCTCTGTAAAAAGATTTTGAAATAAATCAGAGTTCTATTCTCTCGCCTTCTGAAGTGGAGTAATTTCATTCCCTTCCTGCCTCAACAGCATCACAAAACCTCCCGTGTTGGGTCTGTGGGGCGTGTCAGGGACACTTCAGCACCAAGGCAGACTGATGTGTGTCCTGGCAGCGTGCACCAAGGTGAAGGGATGCCTCTCTGTACAGGATGGAGATGACTGCATTAAACCCCTGGCTCAGCACCTGTTCTTGATGGGATGATCAGCTCACACAGGTTTCTATGAGGTCAAAGCAACAGCATCTATAGATTGCTGGCATGGCAGGGAACGTTTTGCAAGCTAATGGTTCACCGCTGCTGAGAGGTGACAAGCCACGAGTGCTCATTAATCCAGCACTGTCCTTGTGGGAATCCAGTGTCAAGAAGCTCAAAAACATTGTCTTTCTGGGTTCACCTCGAAGGTTAGCTATGTGGGTTTCAAATTATTGATTGTGCAGTGTCTGTGAAGTTGCAGCTTGTACATCTGAGCCTTTTTGATCGGGTGTTTGGTCACGTTGAGGTCGTTGGCTCTTTGGCATTGATGTAACAGAACAAAGTTTGGGGAGCCATGTGTCCAGTTTTCTCTGCTGTGCCAAAGTGTGTGGCTTTTGTAGAACCACTGGAATATCACATTTAGCTGCAGGGTCTAATAATGTACTTTGGTATTATTGCTGTGTTAGCTGGGATACAGAGCACACATGGAGAGCTTTTTCCATTTTTAAATCAGTTTTTCATGTTTAGATTGCATGTGATGGCAATTGCATATAATATGGTAAATATTTTACTGGATTAATTAATTTTTTGGTAACTTTTGGGTTATATCCTTAGGAGAAATGTTTTTCCCAGCCTCCTGGTGTAGCACTTTGTTCTGAGGTTTTGTAAAGCATGACAATATAACAAGGATGAAAATCTAATTGGAATTATCAAAGCATTTTCAGGTAGCTTTATTATCAAATTACACTTATTAAATATTTTTTGTAAGTGTAATATTACACAATAAAGGAAAAAGAATACTAAATTTTAATAATAACTTTAATTTTCAATTTTTCTTCTGATTTTATGGCTCTTTTAACTTGAGGTTTTCAAAGAGTCTAGAGAATTGGGCACACAGGTAAAGGACTAAGCCCTGACCTGAGAGGAGAACAGACCTTGGGAAACCACCAGGAATGACATGAGAAATTTGATGGATGTAACAAAGAGCACTGTGATAAGAAAATAAAATTACAGACACTGCTGTTAGGAATGGCCAGATTTTCAGGACTTTTATGGAATTTATTTGAGAGAAGGGCACTTTTTAGAAATATTTGGAAGGGAGCACTGGGGACTTTTTATGGAGAAAGTCTGTAAGGCCAGCAGCACCCAGGGAATTGTGTCAGCAACACCAGGATTACCCTGGAAATGCTGTCAAACATTCTAAATTTGTGTGCTGATATAGGAAAAATTACTTATTTGGGGAAAAAAGAAACCAGGGACAAGTGATATATTTAGGGGGAGGTCAGGACAGAGAAGGAGAGAATATGGAGCTGGGGGTAAAACAAACATGGGGAGCTGATGGGAAGGGGTTGATAAAGAAGTCTGGGAGGTTGTGTGCCCAGTTGTGCAAGTGTTTCTGCACCCCTGGAATAGGTGCTGAGCCAGCAGGGTGGCCACCAAGGTGGAAAGGGAACCTCCCCTGCATCCTGAAGCCCAATATTCCTACAGAATTTGAACAGACCGAGATTTCATTGGCAGAAAGTCCCAGTGTTTTCCTTAAGAAACCACTTTCATCATTTACAATGGTAGTGACAATGTAGGAAAATGGCACCTCCTGATATTTTTCAGGGGATTTTTCACAAAGAAACTAAAAACATATGTTTTATCATATTTAGAAAAGCTCATCATTCATCTCTGCTTTTTCGAGTAAAACACTGAAATCCCTTTATAAACCATTCAGACTGCATAAAAAGTCACTTTTCTCTGATTATAACCATTCCATTTCCCTAGGTGCATAAATATTTATTTTTCAGTCCTTTTACAGGCTTTATAGGAGCTTAGACATACAAATAATTGCTCAGTCACCTGTGTGCAAGGTGCAACAGGTTTTATAAACTGTAGAAAAATCTAGGGAGGTTAAAAGCAAGGATCAAAGGGATATAGGTTAAAAAAGCTTTTTATTTGGGGATTTTTTTTGCAGTTTGAATAGTAGGAACTATTTTTTCTATATGCCTAACAAATAGGACAGTTAAGCTTTGATTGATCTCTGTTTATCATAGCAACAGTACCAAATTTTTCTTTAAATGAATTATTTTACCCTTACTTTTAAAGGGGAACAACCCCCCGCACCGTTGTAAGTCTGGTAATAAAGGATTATTTAAATAATGCTTTTTCATACATATACATATAAGCCTGCAGAGTTCCCCTTTTATTTGCTCATTTTTTCCTTGAAATTTTAGATATTTTTTATTTCAAGATTTTTTTTTAAATATAAAAATTCAGGATAAACTCCTAAAATCTCTTTTCTGTTTTGCTCTCTTGAATATGTTTTTTATTGCAGGGGCTTATTTTTATTCTCCAGATCCAGCAAGCACAATGTTGCTATTTATTACTTTGGCTACACTTTCCTCCCAAGAACTCATTCCTTTCTCTAGGTGCTATTTCACTTTTTGCTGAGGGACAGGAGCATATTTCTGTCTGTTTGTGCCAGATTAAAGCTCCCTGGATAAGTTGTAGAGGAGAACCAGGAAATTATGTGTATACTTTTATCACTCATTTATTTATTACTGTTGTTCATCCATTGCATTACCAGTACTGACCCTGAAAGTATCCTGACAGTCAACTGTTTAGCATTAGCACCCTTTTTCAGTTCTAAATTGATTTAAATCTCATGAAATCACTTTTGGTTTACAAGAGGTATCTGTGTCACTGGTGCACAAGTTGCTCTGAAGCTCGTGGTGTTGTTTACATGGGGTAAAAAATAAATCAGTTTGACAACTAGTGGAGAATCTTTCTCCCAGGATCTTTTCTCCCTTTCTTCATCCTAGCAATTTTTAATTCTTAATGCTGTCGATTTTTTTATAAGACTTGTACTTCTTATGGTGGGACTGGACATGGATTTTTGTCAAAAGTTTTTTTTTTAGGTTTACTACAGAAAAGTTGAAGCAAGTCCTGCTCAACTTTTGCCTTTTCTTATCAAGCTTTAATCCTGTTTTGGGTGTGCCTCACCCTTCTCCTAACATTGGAGGAACCATACTATGCTATCAAATTTAGCTCAGAAGATAGAACCCATCCTACTTCAGGTATTTATTTACGATGTTGATGTCATTCAGCATTTTTCCACCCCCACGAGCCTTTGCTTTGCTTTGCTTTGTAACCTCACAATGTAGAAAAGGTTCATTAACCCCTGCTCAAGCAGTACATAAACCAGCAGCTACAACTCCACTCACCACATTCATTTTTACTATTGTCATTTGAAAATGTCAGGAGCCAGAGAGCTAAACAGTCTGGGGACTAAATGAACAATTTGTCTGAGCTACAATTAAATGTTTCCAGACTCCTGGACAACTCCCAGCACCTGCATTTTGTACTTCCCAGTGTGTGACCTTGACAGATAAGATCAGCTTCTCAAAAGGTGAAAAGCAAGGGCAGGAGGAAAGGGGTGGAGGGTGAAGATGCATCTTTATTTATCTGAAAGCATTATTTCCATTCTTTTCATCCAGCTGAGTGGAGGATGGCACCGTGAAGTGTCCACAACAGCAAGAAAGAAGCAATCCATGGGTCACACTGGATGCGTTTTAAGACAACTTTCTAGGAATGCTTATGCATAATTAAAGGCAGTGGAAATAATTTGCTCAATTTGTTGGTTGGGCTTTTTAGGTGGCAGCTGAAAAAACTGCACTTCCATGAAGCTCAAATGCAGCATGAAAGGAAGGTGGTTTCTGTCCATCAGCTGCAGAGATGCAGCCACCCCTGCCCCGAGCAGCCCCACGAGACAGGAGCACGCCAGGCTACAGGGCACCCTTTGCCTTTGGATCTCTGACTGCAGGGAGTGCAAACTGTGCTTGTGTTAACCCTGGTGATTTAAGAGACTCCAGAGCCATAATTCTTGTCCCTGGGATTACAGACGGAGAACAAGCACAACAAGAAAGACGGGAGCGTTAAGCAGCTGCATAATTCCACCACCACAGAAGCCGCTGTGGCTACAATTTTTGAGCACATGAAAAGGAGGAAAGAATCTTATAGCAGGATCAAATGAAAGCCTGCACGAATAAGAATGCACAGGGAGAAAATGTATCCCACAAGCAAGAAATAAGATCAGAAATTTACAACTCCACATACAAATAAATATGAAGAAGAAGCTCATAACTCCTGGAGGAGCAGAATGTGCTGCAAGCTATACAAGTTATCACTGAGCCAGGCACCTGGACTAAAAGTTGCTCACAAAATCTTTATATGAGCTCCCATATTTTATCTCCTCACCTAAATTGCCTGTCTTGTGCATTTCTTGTGCTAACTGAAGGCCCAAGTTGGCCATTTGGGGCACCCCCCTAGGGAAGCCAAGGCTGATTCCAAGTACAGCCACCAAGGGCAGTTCAGCTTTTTCTGGACTTCCAGATTGTCTTGTTTTTAGCTGAGGGGAAACTCATAAGTTTCCCCAAAGGGAAATGCCAACAACTGTGGTTGCTCAAGAATTTTCAAGAGCTGGAAAGAAAGGAGCTGTTGGAGCGTTAGGGTTTTTTTTTTGGATGGTGGAGTTGTTTGACAGAGAGAAAAGAAAAAAGGAATGTAACAGACCACACACACAAATTAGTCACAGTTTGTATTTTTCTTTTTTAAAGTAAAATATTCTCAGAAAACTGTCTCAGAGTTCTTGTTTTTAGTTTTCACTTTTCTACTCTATTTTAATTTGCAATAAATGAAATTAATTTTCCTTATTGAGCCTGGTAGTTGTATGTGGTGTCCCTGTCTGTATGTCAACCCATGAGCTTTTTCATCTCGTTCTCACATCCTGTTGAGGAGAGAGTGGCCAGAAAAGGTCCAACAGCCATAACACTAAAAAATCCCCAAATTTAAAATGAGAAATTAACATGGAGTGCTTAAGAGACACACAAATTTCCTGGCTTTCCTAATCCTTCATGGTTTTTTATAGACTATGTTCTTACCTAGAAAAGTTGTAGTTACCCTAATTCCTGTTTTCTTGTATTTTAACAACCTGTATTAAGCTGCCTGGTTCTCAGATAACCACAAAACATCCCTGCTGTGCTCAGCTTTTTATTTTTGTTATTTATTTGTATCTTTTTCCTTGTACAGTGTGCTACATTTTTAAATTCACATTTTACTCATCTCTATTACCTACTGTGATATGGATTAAAATACTCAATAATAGCAATGCAGAATAAAAAATAATAATTTGGTTTTGTATAGAAAATTATTTTTAAACTCATATTTTATATAGAATGTATTACTTAAGTGCATTATAATTTCTAATTGTGAAAGAATTGACACAGCAGACATTATAAAATATTACTACAGCACACACCACTCTCAGAAAAAAAAAAAAAAAAACAACAAACAAACAATGTAAGCTTCTAAAAAACCCTTACTATTTAAAAGAATAAGTTTTCATTCTACTACATGACTTCTCCTGTTCAGTACAAGGGACTGCTCTGTTCCCGTTAACTGCTACTTGAAATAATAATATTTTACAGGCTGTTTTTGTGAGGAGGTTTGTAAAAACAACAATATCTATTGGTGATTTAGTAAAGGTGCAGAGCTCTTAGGAAATAAGGGCAGTATTTTCAGCTGGAAGTTATTAAAAAGGTGCATTAGAGGGTAAAAAAGAAAAGTATTATACCCATGGAAGTGTTGCTAAATAACCACTTTTTATTGTGTTCTGTGAGCTATTAGCCTTCAGAAAGCTCAGCACAATAACATCTAGAGACAATACAGTAAAGAAAATACAGCAGTAAAGAAATCCTTTTGTGTATACATCACCTCTGCAAATACCAGCCAAGAAACCACAAGGTCTGAAGAGAAGCTTTGTAATTTCTCACTGCTTAAGCTGTAAATAATTGCTTTCTGTATGCTGAAATGTTTACTACAGGCATTAAATGTCAGCATCTCCACTGACCTTGTATCCTCGCTGTCAGGGCTGCACAGAGTTTTGCTGCAGGGGAAATAAGGCAACAAACAGAAAATCTGATCTAGAGAATTTTTTTTTAGCTATTTGTTTTCTGTGAGGTCCAGTTTATCAATTTTTTGGTCAATCACACATGTGGGCATGCAATTAAACTATAAAGATACAGTTTAGTGACCCTGATGCTGTACTTGATCATGGCACACGCACAAAAAAATTGAGCAAAGCACTTTAGCAAGTGAAACTACTCATTAAATTGATAGTTCCTATCATTTTCAAGGCACAAGCTGCACAAAATTTATCTCAATCACAAAACAGCCTAGAAAGCATCAAACTCCACTGCCCCAGTAAAGGCAAATTCACACTCAGCCTTAATTTTTAATTTCAAGTTCAGAATTCTCCAGCTTGTACATGGGCTATAGGGAATTTTGGGAAAAGGTGACTCTGGGAATAGGAAATTCTTGGCAAATAGAAGGTCTTGAAAATGACTCAACTTGTGGTTGTGAATGCCTTTCCATCACTATGGACAAAAGCTAGAGAACCTAAAAGCTAGCAACTAGGTTAAAATAAATCATTCTCAATGATCATATTCTTTTTACTTCAAGGTCAGGGCAAATTGAGTATCTAAATTTATTCTTGCTTCTTTCTGCTCTGCAAAAATGAACCATCTAACACTTCCATGGCATTTGTATTTCACCCAAGCACTTACCAATGCCCATCAGGATGGCATCTGCTGGTCTCTCTTTCTCTAAATGATAATGAAGGAGCAAAGTCTTGTAAAAAGGTGTGGGTGGGGTTTGTTCCTCACTTGTGGCACCACAGCAGCTTTAATTTAGCTGGGCTTTGAGTAAGTGTTGCCAGTTGTTGGCAGAGTATCGTTAATGGTTTATAAAATATTATTTTAATTGGTGAAATGCACCCAGAGGCCTCTTAGGGAAAATAAGCCAGGGTGTATTTATATGCAAGTAAGCCTAAAATAGTTACAATTGAAAAGCAGAATGTCAGCCAAAATATCCCAGTCACTTATAGCAAAGCACTTTTCAAACACTTTACTGACTCTAAACTTCCTCCCTTGAGTAGGATAAGGGACTCCATAAATGACATTATTTTTATTTTTATTCTGTGGGCTAAGGTTGATATGATGGCTCCCTAGGTCAGCTACATCCTCATAGACAAACACGTTTAAGCATTTTAAAGTATTAATTCCTCCAAAGGATCATAGTCAAGCCAAGATAGATTATTTTCATAAATAATTCTTGTGAACTATGATATCAAATCCTTTAGTAAGTTCAGATATTAATCTAATGCATTCTACTGTTCTCCCCATAATATGGAAATTATAGTTAGTGGTTCAGAAAATTCCTCAGCAAGGCTGGAGGTCCTTGTAGCTGAAGCCATGAAATATAATATCTTTTGCTTCGAGAATACATGGATCAATGAATAAGAATGGGATAAGTATCCCTCATATTTTCAAAGCTCCTGGAGGGATATGAAGCCTTATTACAGTGCATGTGAATGAATTTGCTTGCACACACTCTGCTTAGACAGATCTGCATCAAGGCATAATGTGAATGAGACGTGTCAGATTTGAACATTCCCATAAATCATTTGGGATGATTGCTGAGGCCATTTCCTGTGGCAGTACCTTATAAAATGTAACTGTAGGGATCAACTCAGTGGAAAGTCCCTGGGTTTAGAAGAAAATCAGCTGTGAAACAGCCCCATTCTTTTACCAAGCAAGGCCAGGTTATGCCTGAGATTTACATCTAAGTGGGCAGAAGTGGAAGGACTTTTTTGAAGCTCTGTGTTGTCTGAGGAGCAAGGTTGGGTTCTCTCTTTGCAAATTGCAAACATTAGTTTCCCAAAAATACAGAGATTGGGCAGGGATGCAGGTGAGGTTTCTGCTCCCTGATGTGTGGGTAGAGGTTTGCTATCAGCACAGTTCTACTCACATTTGTAGTGCCATCATCAGAACAATATCTGCAAACTTCACTAGCAGGACCAGACTCCACTCTGTTAAAAGTTCTCTAAAAAGAAACTGAAAATCACCTTGTAGTCCACAAAGATCATCCAGAGAATGAAACTAGTTCCAAAAACAAACTTTATCAGGATTCATTGGAAACCTGACTGCAGGGTCTCTAAACCTCTTGCCCCTCCCTCTCCCATTCAAGAGCTTCGATTCCACAATGAAATATCTGGTTCAGAATTTGTAATAAATAAGGGTTGTTTTTTTGGTTTATTTTTAATATGGAAGAATTTACTTCAAATTGCATCACAGAATATTGTTTTACATATGAAACTCTTCTTGCTTTAGTTGCAGGAAGATTTTTCTCTCTTCTGAACTTCAGTTGAGGTATAATTCTATACAATCAACAGGGGCTCATTTCCGTCTTTTCCAACACGGATTACATAGAACTGTATCAAACAGGTATCTCTCCACAAATTAAAAAAAATAGGTTCCAGTTTGTCTTCTTAATGAAATCAGCTCATGCCCTCCACTGCCAGGAACATTTTCATAAATATGACCCCGAATCTTCAGTTATGAGAGACAAAGGCAGAAGCAAAGTTCAAAGAAAGCCCCAATCTAAGACGAGCCACTGGAGATGAAGGCTCTGATGATTAAGACCCAAAGCAGATTAAAATGAGAAAGAAAGACAAGAGAAGAAGAGGTAGCAGATTTTTGTACTGAGAAATATAATAAGCTGAGATGTGGGCAGTGAGGAAGGAAGGCAGTGGAATTTAATTAATAAGACTGGTGTCATAGAATCACAGAAGAGTTTGAGATGGGAAGGAACTTAAAACCCATCCGGTGCCACCCCTGCCATGGGCAGGGACACCTTCCACTATTCCAGGTTGCCCCAAGCCCTGTCCATCCTGGCCTGGGACACTTCCAGGGATGCAGGGGCAGCCACAGCTTCTCTGGGCACCCTGTGCCAGAGCCTGCCCACCCTCCCAGGGAACGATTCCTTCCTAATATTTACACAAAACCTTCTCTCTCTCAGTTACTAGAAGAAAAAAAAAAAGAAAAGGGACAAAATCCATAGTAGAAATTTGGCAAAATAAGTCTGTCTTTTCATTCCTCTCTTATAACATTAAATTAAAAGGACTGTTGGGGAATTTTCATGGTACCCCTTGAGGTAAATAAAGCACATGTTTGTGCTTAAAGTTTAACAAAAAGAAAATCAAAACCAAACACATGAATTAACAAACAACACACTGGGCAGAGTCCTACTGCCTTAAGCAGTTTTACAAGGAGTCCAGAAAGCTATGTGACCAGCCAATTCCCCGTAGACTATGCTGAACAGTTACAATTTTAATTTTCCTTCACTGTAAAACAGTGAAAACTTATATATTCTGCAATATAATTTAATCCTGTCTCATTTGTACACACCTGGGAATTTGCTAGGAAGCAAGCAGAACTTCCCCTTGCTCAAAAAACCTGAAAAGCTCACGTGGGATTCCTCAGCAGCTGAAAAATAGAGTGCTAATTCTCTCATGCATGCATATTTCTGGTGGTATTTCCACAGTGTTTGCATTCCATAAACACTTTTAGTGCTGATGTAACACCTTCTGTTTCACAGATGAACAGAACCAGCTCTGGCCAGTTACTCGAGATCAAGCTGAAAGTAAATTATCTCAGACAACAAGGGAATACTGTGAAAGTTCTGTGCAAGTGTGACTTGAATAAAACATGGCACACAGCAATGAGGAAAAGAACCCTGTTCTTGGTGCAGCCAGCTGGACAAAGCTTTGAACTTATGGAATTCTCCCTTTGCAGAAAGGCTTCTGGTTGTATCCTGAACTATGGATTTGTATCTATGTACTCTTAGGCACGTGGTAATCAATTTTAAATGGGGTGAAATGCTTTTATCCTGTCAAAAGCACCA